GGGGGTGTGCGGTGCCGAAATAAAGTGGTCGTGGCGGAGGGGGTACTGGGCGGGCGCTGGAGCCGCGGGGGTGCGCTGAGACGGCGCGGACGAGGGGGCGGAGCGGGGGAGGGGTGCGGTGCCGAAATAAAGTGGTCGTGGCGGAGGGGGCGCTGGGCGGGCGCTGGAGCCGCGGGGGGGCGCTGAGACGGCGCGGGTGAGGGGGCGGAGCGGGGGGGGGGGTGCCGGGCCGAAATAAAGTTGGCGGGGCGAGGGGGGCACTGGGCGGGCGCTGGAGCCGCGCGGGAGCGCTGAGACGGCGCGGGGGAGGGGGCGGAGCGGGGAGGGGGGGTGCGGTGCCGAAATAAAGTGGTCGTGGCGGAGGGGGCATTGGGCGGGCGCTGGAGCCGCGGGGTGGCGCTGAGACGGCGCGGGGGAGGGGGCGGACCGGGGGGGGGGGTGCGGTGCCGAAATAAAGTGGTCGGGGCGGAGGGGGCACTGGGCGAGCGCTGGAGCCGCGGGGGAGGGGGCGGAGCGGGGAGGGGGGGTGCGGTGCCGAAATAAAGTGGTCGTGGCGGAGGGGGCATTGGGCGGGCGCTGGAGCCGCGGGGTGGCGCTGAGACGGCGCGGGGGAGGGGGCGGACCGGGGGGGGGGGTGCGGTGCCGAAATAAAGTGGTCGGGGCGGAGGGGGCACTGGGCGAGCGCTGGAGCCGCGGGAGGGCGCTGAGACGGAGGGGGCGCATGATGATGATGATGTGGATGATGATGATGATGATGGTGATTATGATGGTGATGATGGTGAGGATGATGGTGATGATGATGATGATGATGATGATGATGATGATGATGATGATGATGATGATGAAGGGGGGGGGGTGCGGTGCCGAAATAAAGTGGTCGGAGCTCTAGACACCCTGTGCAAGAGAATTAAAAACTTCTTTGGGGCGGTTTTCGCGGAACGATATCTTTAGCACCGCGCAAAAGAACGGGAAATAACTTATTCCTGCGCCTTGGCTCGGCCGGTATCCCAATGGGAACATGTAGAATTCCTAGATACTCCTATTCCCCTCCTGACTCGTGCTACTGCCGCTGCGACGGTAACGCTGATGACGACGATTGCGAGAATGTTTCAGACGGTTTCCTTGTTTCGGCGGGCAGACTCGTCTGCGATCAAAGCAGGTTGCGAGGTGCCAAGGTAACGCTTCCAGGGTGCTGGAGCATTACAATTTCGCCGGAGAAGGGGGGGGCTTTCTCAATTGCCTCTCCGGGTAGGGAGCTCCACCTCAGGCCCCAGTGGCTGCGGCCGCTTGCGTCCCCGCCGCTCATTTCGGCACACCCCTCACGCGCTTCGTGGCCACATAACATAGGAAGCCCCACCTAAGGCCTCAGTGGCTGCGGCCGCATGCGTCCGCGCCACCAATGTCGGCACACCCATCACGCATTTCGTGGCCCATAAGGAGCTCCACCCAAAGCCTCAGCACCATTGCCCGCATGCCGCGCTTGACGCTTCTGGGCCCCATAAGGAGCTCCATATATAGCTCCAGTGGCTAAACTCGCG